CAGTCAGTACAAGAAGAGAACGACTGTGGAAGCTACTATGCTGCTTAGAAAAATAATGAAGTCAAGTTTTCAAAAAATTAGAGGGGTAAGGAAGAGAAAAAGACAAGTGTGAATTTGTAACGCAGTTTTTCTCCGAGAGGCGAGTAGACTGTGTGAGATTATCAACCACTCAGCATATTTAGCTTAGCTGCAGACTACTGTTTGTCTCCATAGCATTTAATGATTTAAGGAAAATAAATGCCAAGATATTCATATATTTAACTTGTCCCTGTACCTTTTACCACATTTGACAACTGGTGCGTCAGTCAGCAGCAGCTCTAATTCCCGATACCAACATAAACTCCTTACCCCCATCCCAGTGAAAAAGATTAGCAACACTGTATCCAATGACAAGCTAGTTGGCATCATTCCAGGGAATCTATAGGGATTTCTCTGTGTCTTTGCTCTTTTTACAATTGCACAACAAAAACACTATATTTGTTGCTGACAGAAATTCAAACAATCTTTATAAAATCATAAAAAAAACAGCCTCCTGTCTGGACTGCAGCCAGTCCACACAGTTTTACCTTAGCTTGCATTTAAATTTCAGATATCTGTTGCCATGTTTCTCCTGACCTGTCCTCTTTTAAGTGAAATTAAAGAGGCAGTATAACTTTTATAAAACAAATATTTTTTTTTACATATTTGTTGAAACAGTCATTGTGTTGTGACAGTGTGGGATGAGATAATTTGTGAAAAAAATATTTCCTCTGCCTTCTCCCAGTGCTATCTAGAAGCAACCAATCAGAGGTAGGAGACGGCGGGTTTTAGCGCTGTCGATCACAATCTCATGTGGGTGCTCATCCTCCCTCCCCCTTTCTCTGCTATGCTGCAACTAGCATTGCACAGAGCTGTGCAGGTTCAAACTGTGAATGCTCAGTTTAGTTAGCATAGCTACCAATGACGGCAGATAAACAGTTTCTTGTAATAATAAGTTGTTTCTCCACCATTAGCACATTTAGCAGTGAGTGAATGAAGTTGATTAACAGCACTAAGACCCTCCTCCTGGTTCTGATTGGTTGTTTTTGGTCAGAACAGCGCATCACTTTAGCTAACAATAGTAGTTCAGGGAGGAGGTGGAGGAGATTGATTTTTTTCACAGATTATCTGTTTCATAGCAAACTGTCACAACATTGTGACAACTTTAACAAATATGGAGATAGACTCAAGAAACTGTAACAGTAGTTGCGCAGGGGGGCCCAATTTAATTTTTTGTCATGGGGCCCAAGATTTCTGGCAGTGCCCCTGCCCATAGATATTGAGCTTATGTTTGGACATTTTCCTCTATTGTCTGCGTAACTACTAGAAGAATTCTTAAGTTGAAAACAAAAACTTCAACACAGATGTACAACTTTATTCAACCAAACGTTTACAAAACTGCCAAGTAAATTAGCACTTCAGAATTTATCCCGAAAAACAGTTTAGGGGATGCCAAGTGCGTGACATGTTTTCAAAGTTGGTAAAAGGGCTAAATGAAAAATCAGGTTGGCTACTAGCACATTAGCCAATTAGCCAAAGTATGTCCACCACTGTTCTTCATGGAAATGCCATTTTTGTCATAGCTCTACGCTTTAATATATGTTTGTCTTTGTCTGAAAAATAAGATTGTTGTAAAATATTTTTTTTGTTTTTGTTTTTTCCAACATAACACTAGTAGATATACTATGGAGAGCCTGTTTCACCCCAAAGTGGACACAGTTCATTAGGCAATGAGGGAGAGCACTTAGATTAATAATAATCATAGATATTATTGTAATGCCCTTTATATCTTGAGATGTCAAAGGGGTATAGTACATAGCAAATTATAGTCACTGTACTGTTGCAAAGTGAGTCCTGCACCTTTATTGAAAGGGATTCTGATCTGCCACAATGTCCCTTTGGTGCTTCCTTCATATGTGCAGTGACACCAGGATGTGTTATTGTTTCAGAAAATGATCAGTTACCCATCAGCCCTGCTCATTTTAAATTAAGGGTTTTATCATTTCTTTCAAGTCACTCTTCAGCTGAATATAACTTGCATGTGAATTTTGGTTGGAATTTACTGTATTGACGGTGTGAAATGCTGATACTGCAGTTGACTGCAGCATGATGTAATATGCAAACGGGAGAAAAAAAACCCTGCATTTCAGAAAAAGTTCAAATGAGAGCTCATGTAGTGAAGGACGCTTTGTGCAATGTCTACATCTGCAGACTCTGATCCAGTTGTTTCATGACTTATGATGTTTTATCATGTTGGATCAAATGTCAGAGTCACTTTGTCCAGTAAATTTATCTTCGTGCCTTCCACTGTTCAAATTGGTTACAAAACCATTCCAGATTGGAGCATTTAGTTGCATCTTCCTCTACCTGCAGTGTTTCTGAAAACCTTTGTAGTGTCACGTGATAAAAACACATTGTCAGAAGGATCTTTGTGAAGGCCTGGTGTTGTTTTTCCTGAGTGCATTAGCCAGTGGCAGTGTGGGGAACACTGGTCTTTTTATAACTACATTACCAGCTCCTGCATTTTTTTCCCTCAACAAATACCAGATTCTGGTAAAGAAAAGCAGCTGTGGGCGGCAGAGAAAGCCGAAGTGTCTCTTCAGTGTTGCTAGAATTGGCTGCTAACACGGAGCAGCAGGCAGTGGACTGAAATGAAGACGACAGTGTTTTGGCAGATTGCCTCGGACTGTATGTTGCAAAGCAGGAAGTGTAACACTGAGAGTACAGGAAGTGACTGATATGGAGCTGTGCTCCCCTTTTTATGTCCAGCAGCATTATAGAGTTTAAGCCGTTGACTTTCAGACAGAACCTGTTCTTTCTGTCTGGTGGAATAAAGAATGATAAATACAGAGCATCCAGACAGACTTGGGACCAGTGAAGTATTCGACAACGGAGGGCAACCGAAGCACCGAACTCATTTATGGTCAATGTGGGGGGAATTTCAGAGGGAAAAAATGGGAAGTGGTGATGACAACAAGGTCAGAGCAGAAACAATGACATAATGTAACTGAAGATCTGCTGTGGATCATCTGAAGAGCTTTTTCTCGAACATTTGAAGCAAATGTTTACATGTTTTGAGATGTCAAAATGTGGATAAAGAAAAACTGATGAATAATGTGGCCCGTTACACATTTAAAGTGCTTGTTTGTTTTCGTGTCTGTTTTCTGAGGAGCACAGATTGACGTTTTTGTCTGAAAATTGCAAATTTTAGCAGCAAAGTTGGCAAGTTGGTAACAGTGTGGTGACTATTTTGTGTGCATGTGCAGATGGGGAAAAAAATAGGGGTATAGTACATAGCAACTATACCAGTGGGCTAAATGGGGTTTTTTATCAGTGCACCTCCAAAAGTACATACATTTTATATTGATTTGTGTGAACATGCTTTCATGAGTAATAGCCATCTCAAGCTAACTTGTAGTTATATAGTGAGAATTGCATGCTGCATGTCTGATATGTTGCCATGCGACACACTGGCGACCTGTCCAGGGTGTACCCCATCTCTCGCCTGGAACGTTAGCTGCAGATAGGCACCAGCAACCCTCCCAACCCTACTAGGGACAAGCGTGTATAGAAAATGGATGGATGGATTTCTGATATGGGCTCCAAAATAAAAAACTAAAAACAATATGACTGCATAAATAAATTATACATACTAGTAAAATAATTAAAATTAAAATTGTTACAATATGACAAAATGAGAACTTACTTTCAAAGTGGACTATGACGAAGTAATATAATTTCTTGCGAGTATATTGTTTTCATGATTGTTTGGAGATCGATCTGGAACTGAATGCTGAATAACTGCACAGTCCTTTCTCTAAGTTATTTTAAACATGTTTTTAAACTGATAAACAACAAATCAACACAACTAAAGGTTTTTACCTTATTCATTTCTACATTTCTTGTTGACTTGTTGATACATTGGCCCCATTTACTTAATGTTTGGGAGATTGGAGATTACTTTTTTCCACATTTTGTTGTTAGTCTGTAATACAGAAAATCTATTTTTCCCTTAATTCTACATTCTGCTCCCAAAAGGTTCTCATTGAGTTGCTTCTCCAGCTTTTCAGAAAGCCAGACCCATGGTTGACAGTGCAGGTCATAACACAAACAAGCATGAAATCTTAGGAGTTGAAAACATGAGGCATTATAAAACTTCTTGGACTCATTATGTCCTATATATTTTATATATCGGATTTTACAGAGAGAGAACATGCTGAATGCTACATTCAGCATGTTTTTATTTCTGTAAATTTTAATAAGGCTCTACAACTACTTGAAAACCTAAGATTTATTTAATTAATTTCAAATATTACAAAAGACCAACGGAAATAGTTTGGTATTTCAGCAATGTTATGCCGAAATGTGCTGACTTGACAGTTGTGCAGTAGATGGTTAATCCAGAAAACCCTAATGTTAAAGAAAGCTGACTGTTTATTGAATTGAGTCCATGCTTATCAATAGAAAGTTGAGTGGAAGGAAAGTGTTGCAGAAAACTCTTAATTAGTTGGATTAAAGTAATAAATGTTATTTTAATTTGCTAAGATGCACCTTAGCAATGATGCACCACCTTTTAGTTTAATAACAACTGTGTCTCACTTTCAGATATGTGTTTTCTTTTTTTGGCACCTAAAGTATGTTTCATTTTGAAACATCAATTTTTTTGTGCATTTGTAGCTAGATCTACAAAACTGTAGTTACAATTTCCATTTAAAATTCAATTACAGATGTATCTACAAAACAACAATGGTTCCCATGTACATTATTAATTTTGACTGAATTATTCTCTACTTTTTTTATCAAGTATGTTCTGTTTTTACATCAGGCCCTTTTTTTTTTTTTTTTTTTTTTTTTTTTTTTTTTCTAAACGCCTGTTTTAATCTTCAGCCCCTTAGTAAGCACGCCTCCCCCTCCAACAGGCAGGGAACTGAAAAAGAGGAAGTGGTGCGCAGCATATATAAAGTGGCTGCTGAAGTGACAGTTCTTTCAAAGTGTATGCTGTGAGATTAGAGAAAGAGGAATCAGGAAATTCTGCAACTCTGAGTGCCGTTCTAAAACTTGTTGGATTCAGCTAACTTTTGCCTCTTTCCATTTTCAGCTGCATATGGCTGCTGTTCGCCTTTTGCCTTTTTCTGCGGAATGAACTGAGGTGCTTCTTCTGCTGTCTTCTGAACATACTGGTTATTCTTCTATGGACTCAGATTGAGTAAGTTACCTTAATTTCCTTCCATTGTCACATGGTCAGTCATTTGTAAATGCAAAAACGAGCTTGCAAACATAGCAACTTTTTTGTAACTCGTGCCCAACTGTGTGTTGCAGTAGTGTGAAGAGCTGAGCTCAGATCTGTACTCCCAGAGTTACCAAGCATTCTTGCTCCAGTCTGGTACTTGGAGAGTTGCGTTGACATAATTTGCACTGCAGGTTCAGTTTTAGTCTAATAATGGAGCTTTCATTTAAAAGCCAAATCTCTGCGCTGTGAGAAGGAGCTATTTAAGAGAAGCACTCCCAGAAGACAGGCCTGCAGAAGTCATTCAGCAGGAACAAGTGAAGTTTAACAAAATTTACATTTTTTTATTTTGGTGTATTTTCCGCAAAAAATAAAAGCAAACTCTGTGACTTTCTCTTCACAAACCCTGTGACTTTCTTCACTTCAGCACGCTCTTCATCAATTGGATTTCTGTGACATTTCACCTTTTTTTTAGTCTGCTGTTCATCTAAGCCTGTCACAATAAGAAATAAATTAATTAATTGCATTATAAATTAAAACGAGCATAATCATTTCCATTTGGACATCAGTCATTAAAGAGTTGCTTCTCTTTTAAATTTGTTGAAAAGTCATCGTTTTGGGAAATGCTGCAGACATTTGACATCCAGTACGAAATGGTTAGCTTGCACTAACTGCCTGTCTGAGCTGAATGATTATTTTCCCTGTCTAAGCTGAATGATTATTATTTTTTGAACTGCAATTTTGGTTACAGAGATGTAAAATATTTTCCATTTAGAATTTTAAATATTCTTTTTAGAAAACAATGTTTGGTCTGTGAGAGGGTGTACTTGCATAAATATGCCATTATTAGTATCATTATATTGGTTGAAAATGCTTTAAATGACAATGTTATCATTTATTTCAACTTCTGGGAGCATATATCGACCAGCAAAGATTGTCCTCACAGTCCTAAATTAATCAGTTTAACTTAAATGTTTTCACCAAGTGAAAAACATTCCAACTCTTTATCTTTAATTCTGCTAAATAAAGCTTTAAAGCGATACTTAGTGCTGTTTGATTACCCTGCTGAACAATAATACTTGGTGCAAAAGAAGGAATAGAGGCCAGGCTGCCATTTCCTCTGAGAGCTTTCAGAACAAGTAGCTGTTTTATTAGTGTCATAATGGCTAGTTGTATTTAAGTGCACATACGCCATAGACAGCATGTCTGGTTGTATTTGAGAATTGCTTTCATGAGTCATTTTAAGAAGTGAAACGAGGAGTGTGATATGTGATGTAAACGGTCCACATGATGCAACCGTTCAATGCTTGATTTTAAATGTCCAAATACAACAATGGACACCACCCATAAGAAGATTTGTTTTAAAAAGCTTAAGGATTAGAGTAACTCAGTAAGGTGTAACACAATCTCCCAATTCAAATGTCACAATGTTTCTAGAGGGATCCAGTCACTCCGGGAGTATGAGGTACCTTTGATATGGACTGTTGGGTCCCTGTATGACCAGAGTCTGGTCCGCATTGCTGGCAGTAAGTCGGGCTTCTTTCCAGTGAGAGTTGGACTCCACCAAGGCTGCCCTTTATCATCTATTCTGTTCATTACTTTCATGGACAGAATTTCTAGGTGCAGCCAAAGAGTTCAAGGCTGCTCCTTTACATTGAGAGAAGCCAGTTGAAGTGGCTTGGGCATCTGGTTAGGATGCCTCCTGGACGCCTCCCTGGTGAGGTGTTCCAGGCACGTCCCACTGGGAGGAGGCCCCTAGGAAGACCCAGGACACGCTGGAGGGATTATATTTCTTGGCTGGCCTGGGAACGCCATAGGATTCCCCCAGAGGAGCTGGAACAAGTTGCTAGGGAGAGGGAAGTCTGGGCCTCCCTTCTTAGGCCGTTACCCCCGCAACCCGACCCCGAATGAATGGAAGAAGATGGATGGATAAATGGATGGATGGGATCCAGTCACTGTCTGCACATGAATTTATCTGTAGAAGGAAGTATAAGATATTATGATTCCCAGATGTGCATGTGTGTGTGTTATACTTCATATCTAATTGTCCTGATAATTTAGACTCTTATTTTGAAGAATTGAAGTAGTTCTTGAGTTGGGATGTTGTGTTGCCACAGTTGGCTGATAAAGGTTTCTTGTTAGGCCTGTGGACAACAATTGACATGTTCTTTGCTAATCGCTAACTGTACAAAAGTTGGCATAGAAAGCATTTCGTAAATTCCTGTAGTGGCTAAACTAAAAGACTATTCAAAGATTTTAAGGGATCTGGACTCTAGCTTAAAAATGTTACACTTGAACTAATTAAAGTTGAAGTGTGGATGCTATGTTATGCTGAACAGGCAACACAGCTTGAGATTTATGAGCCTCTATTATGGACCACTGCTTCCAGTCAATGAGTAAAATATGTGGATAAAGATCCTTTTGAAAAACATAACTGTCTATTTTAATAGTTCAAACCCAAAGTATACTTTAAGAATTAATTCTCACAGTAGAGAATTAGACTATTTTACAACCCTAGACTATTTTACAAGCTAATGCCTACACTCTTTCTTATTTCCACTCTTGAAGGTTCAACAGCGGTAAGGAAAATTAATAGTGCTACTAGATTGGCTACTTTACAAACACCAGCCAATAACATTTCAACTAGCTTTGCTATTTGTGCTTCCTGAACTGGATTTTCTTTCAAATATTTTAGATAAGGGGGAAAAACAAATAATTAGATTTTTTTGTGAAGAATCTGAAGTCACATTCAACAGAAAAATCTGTCGGCAGTGTCCAGTTTGCCAAAATAAAACTGGAAATTGGTAGTTTTTTAAAAACTATTTTGGAATATTTTGAACTAATTATAGATTTAAGACAAAGTTTGTAATTTGTTAATTTATTTACAGAAACAAAAAATTTGGGATCATTAGATATTCCAAAATCCTTGCTAATATCTCATGAACTTAAGACGATATATCATCTGATTTGAGCTTGATATTTAATTTCACCTAAGATCAGAATTGATCACAATTTCTCTTTTACTTTATTCAAAGTAATTAGTCAGTAATCTGCTTTTCTACTAAGCTTGTATATTTGCAAACTCGGATGCAATCAGTCCTTCTGAAAGCTAACAGGATGACCCAACCCAAAAGTTGTGGGTTTCATACCAGTTTCCTCCTGGCCAAGGAACTAAGACTAGAAAAGCATTCTAGAAATTCAGTCCAATTCAAGTCAGTATCCATACCCGTTGGAGAGTTCTTTTGACTTATTTTACTTTGACATTTTCCTTCAAGATTGAAATGAACTTCTGCTACCCCTAACAGCTTGATATTTTCAGGGTATTTTTTATTTTTTATTTTTTCAGTTATAATTCTAATGTGTGCAATAGATTTTCGTTCCCTTTTCAGATCTGGTTCTCTTCTTGCATAAGCGCATTGTTGCTTCATAAGGACATTGCAGTTGAGTCTAACTCAGTACAAGCTTCTAGAAAATCTTATCTGCAAAGAAAAGGACACAGTTCACATCTATTGCTGTGTTTTGTTGGCTGCATGGCAGTCAGTTATGTAGGTTTTGCATCCTAGCATAAGAAACTGTTCAACATTACCCTGCTCGATCGAGTACTAAAGTAACAGCAACTGCTGAATGGTAAAACTGAGGTGTGAGTGAGTTCACACACACACCACAGGATGTTAGCTTAGCCACTCAGCACAGTTTCTGCACAGCCTCTGACACATTCATCACGTTCCTGGACGGCATTCAGAGCATCTACATCTACAGTTTCCCAGAATTCAAGTTGACAGTCAGTCTGAGCATTCTGTTTGATCACCAACATGCCTGTTTGGTTGCTGTACAACATTAGTAGAAGTGAACTATAATGAAGGGCTGTGTGAGGTTTGGATCGGTTCGTCTTTGGCCTTTGAAGGCATCTGTGGAGGAAGCGTGATAAGAGGTTTTCCGTCATTGGGACACCTTTAAAAAATCCACCAAAATCCTACATCCTGTCACCTAGTTGAGCAGCGTTGTGTGTGTACAAAGTCAATTTAGCAATGCTAACAGCATCCTGCAGTAAAAGACAACAAATTGTATTGGTTGCATTAAGCTGCCAAAAAAACAAAGGAATCAATCCACAGAGAGTTCCAACAGTAAAGCATACTTTTTAATTTAAGAATGTTTCCAAGCTAATTGTCTAAAAGTTAGATTTGTTTTTATGCTCAAATCTTTACACAGAATACCCAATCATGACAACGGGAATACTGTGTATATGTGTTTTGTAAAATATTTGAAAATATGTTGGAGACTAAAAATAATGGAAGAAATGACGCGCAAAAGTACTCACTGTTTTTACTCAACACTTTGGTCATGCACTCTTGGCAGCACTAACAGCCTTCGAGTTTTCTTGAATAACTGCCAACAAATCTTTTGTCCATTCCTCTTTGCTGGACCATTTTAAGCTCCATCAGGTTGGGTCAATGCACAGCCATTTTCAGATCTCTCCAGAGATGTTCAATTGGATTCAATTATAGGTTCTGGCTCGGCCACACAGGAACATTCCCAGAGTTGCCCTGAATTTTTTCCCTTCGTGGCTTCCCTTCTTGGCTTTGAGTCATTCAGATAAGACAAACCATTGCAACATGTCAGAATTTACACTCTGAAAAGTGTTTTTGGGCTGTAGTTCATATTATGGACTTATTTATATTAATCTCACTTAATTCTTTTGCTTTAGTTATGACAACTTACTTTTTGGTGTTGAATTAACTTAAAGGGTACAAATTTTTAATTTAAAGAAACTTTTTACTTTGACTTTACTTGAAACAATTAAGTTCAATGCTGCATTGCTATCCTATGACTGACGCCATGATGCAGGCTTCACTAGGGACAGATCCTGTACCAAACAGGTGCTGTGGTGGCACAGGGGTAGAGCACAAATCGCATAAGGAGATCTTAGTCCTTGACATGCCCATCGGAAGTTCAGTTCCAGCCTGATGACTAACTCCTGT